AATAGTTGGTTATTTTTGGTGTAATTTATTCAAGATTTTGTGTTCAATTTGCCCAGTTTCAGTACCATACTCAGTCAGCCTATATATATGTATATCCATTTTGGCATGCTATGGGTACAGCATGTTCATGTTTATATCTCAAATGATACAGATATTACTCTTCTATAATTTTCAGTTATTCAAGCTAAACCAAAGGATAATATGTGCACTAGTGTACATGTTGCAACATCAGTTACAATTTCGGTCACAGGGGTTATTTGGGGTGTTACTATATCAAACTAAAGTCAAATCATTTTGAAACCTTCTCGATGTCTAAGTTGCACACAACAATGATTTGTCTTTATTAGTTTTATTTTTACATTAGCCCATAACGCATGCGCAAGACAAACCTGGCTTGTTTTCAACCCTTTTCCTTATTTTTCTCTCTCTTGGCATGGGAGAATTCCAACTATGCCCAAATGTGATTGAGGAAAAGCAGAGAAAATTTTGAAGCCATGATCCATTTTTTTTTAATCTGGTGATCTAGAGATAGTTTAAATTTTAAAAGATGACGGGCCGACTTAGAATTTAGAATTTACACACCATAGAAAATAGGTCTACGAGTTTTAAATTTCATATAGACCTACTGAAATTTTTATAGACAAAACCTTGACCAAAACCTTTACTTTTCACTTGTGTAGTTAGTATTCAATCACATGAAAATAAAGAAAATATGTGTAATAGTAAAGGAAGACAAGTAATTACATTGTATATATATAATTTCACAGGACTTGATCTCTCACTACTATATATAGTTATCATTGAATTTTATGAAATAACTTCATGGAGAAGTAAATGATTCCCATAACCCTACTGTTTTTCGTGGTGATTGTATACGTACATGTCTATGGTTAAGTTGAACACTGGCTGAAAACTTGTATGTACTCTTTCTTGAAAAAAAACAAGAGGCCCTGCCCCATACATCCAGTATCAATTTACTTACATGATATAAATTATTTAAACTGAACGAACATTTAACGATCACCAATAGAAATTCTTCTCCTACTCTTTTTTTTTTCTTCATGGAAATACAAAACAAGAGATCCTAGAGGGATCTTGGCGCCCACCTTTGTACCATCTTCATTAGTTCTTTGTCAGTTGGATCTTTTCTCTTCTTTCCTCTTATCTGTTTGATCGAGTCATGTTAACAGTAAATGCACATTAAGGTAACTTTTGATCTAACCTTAATACTGATGTGTATGAAAGCCAACCTTCAAAGTGAGTTTGTCATTTCACCTACAAGAGGATCAAGAGGAACCTACATATTTGAGAACGATCCCTCAAGTTATTCCTGAGAAATAGTTTTGGGCGAGTAAAAATTCTTGAAGCACTGCCCTAAATGACATATTGGTGGCCCAAATAATTTTGGGAAGAAATATTTCCACAGCATTTAACACAATGCTTCAGCAATGACATAACATGACAATGTTTGTAATATGTAATACAGAATCGAATAAAATGTTATATTTTTAATTCTTCAACCCTAGTTAATACCAGACATTAGGTCTTTAGTATTTCCCAAAGAAATACACAAAACTCGCACCTCAAAGAAGACACCCTGGCCATATTTATAAAGAAAATCTGAAAAAATAATCATCACATTTTCTAAATCACGGACAGTTTGATTCAAATCGAAGTAATGAGAACTGAAAAAATGTACTGCCCTCAATGCAATTACTAGAATTATTATATGCTTGAAAATTTCTCGCAATCTTATTGGTCGGATCCTATAAATGTGACCAGTCCTCAAAAACTCATGTAGACTGGTTATCCGGTGAATATCAATTTCTAAATATAGCCTATATGGAAATTCCCCGGAACTTGTCGTAGCGCATGAGCAGTTAGATCGGAACGCGATCTGTCAGACGACATCAGAAGATGGGTGTTGGCAAACGCTTCACCTCTGTTACATCAAAAAACTTCATAAAAATTGCATGAAGAAAATATGCTGTTAACACAAAAAGGCCACCAAACTCGCAGTGCGTCTTCCATGCTTATCTTAGGTAATATTACCCTAACGATGACCGCGAAATACGATGCCAAACTGTTGGATTCATACCTTGCTAAATTTTACACAGAGAATCTTGAGATTTTTCTTTTAAATCTTATTATGTTGAAGCATATAATAAAACAGTTGTGGGCTTTTGTGCTGGTAAATCGATGCAATATGAACCTTAACAAGAGGCTCAATGGGCCTGAATCGCTCACCTGGTATTAGTATCAACACTTGCAATCTTAAAAGTGGACTAAAATAGCTACAGGCAAAATTTTAGTGTTTTATTCAAATGATTCTATTACAAGATTTCAACATATTTGACCCCTGTGACCTTGAAAATTGGTGAAGATCATTCTTTTGAACAAACTTGGTAACACTTCGTCCAAGCATGAAACTGGCCAAATATCATCATCCTAACCATTTTTGTTATTCAGAAGGATTTTTTTAAATGTTTTACACATATTTGACCCCTATGACATTGAATATAAGTCAAAGTCATTCATTTGAATAAACTTGGTAGCCCTTCATCCCAGCATGTTACTGGCCAAATATCATTACCCTAGGTCTTCTGGTTATCCACATATTTGACCCTGGTGACCTTGAATATAAGTCAAGGTCATTCATTTGAATTAACTTCGAATTCATAGCCCTTCATTTCAGCATATTGCTGGTCAAATATCATCACCCTTGGCCTCTTGGTTAATCAGAAGAAGTTGTTTAAAGGTTTTACACTTATTTGACCCCTGTGATTTTGAACGTAAGTCAAGGTAATTCATTCAAATAAACTTGGTTGTCCTTCATCCCAGCATGATATTGGCCAAAAAACAACACTCTAGGCCTTCTGATTATTCAGGAGAAGTTCTTTTAAAGTTTCAAACATATTTTACCCCCTGTGACTATGAATATAAATCAAGGTTGTTCATTTGACCAAACTTGGTCGCCTTTCATCCCAGCAGGTCCCTGGCCAAATATCATCATCCTGGGCTTTCTGGTTATTCAGGGGAAGTTGTTGAACAAATTTTTTATATTTGACCCTTGTGACCTTGAAAATGGACAAAGGTCATTCATTTGAACAAACTTGGTAGCCCTTCATACCAGCATGCTACTGGCCAATTATCATCAGCCTGGGCCTCTTGGTTATTCAGAAGAAGTTGTTTAAAGTAAAAAAGTTAAAGACGGACGACAGGCACACCACGGCATGAGCTTATTTGGCCCTTCGGGCATGGCAAGCTAAAAAGTAGTTTTAACCTCGGCTTCGCCACCGGCAAGATCACTTTTTCAGGTTCATATCACATCACATTCACAAGCACAAAAGTCCATCATTATTTAATACTGGGAATTTTCCCAACTTTTTCCAATTGGGAACGGTACGTAGCGATATTTGGTACCATTTATGCACTCCCCCCCCCCCCCCCCCAAAAAGATCAAACCATAAACTGTATAATAAGAAAACACAAAGAGCTATCTCCACTTCAATTTATTAAACATACATGAATGTATCGGGACTTTTTCCAGATGAATTGGGAAACGTCCTTGATGTCAATTGTGTAAATCATTGATGTATTGGCTGTTCATTGTGAAAATGTATACATCCACTGGATTTGTCCATAAAAACCAACTTTTAACACTGTTTTTACCACTTGTTGAAGTTTAAATTGTATTCATATTGAAAGAACCAGTTATAATATGGCCTCATTCAGATCATTTCTTCGAAAACCATTCAGGAGGTAAAAAAAAATAATTACATATTCAACTCCCATGATCTTGAAAGTAGGTAAAGGCCAATTATATGAGGTAACCTCTTCGCACTCCATCCCAGGAACCTTCTGCCCAAATATCATGACACTTGGTTTCAAGCTTATCTAGAAGATGTCATTTGAGGAAATAGTTTGCGGACAAGCGACAGACAACTCAACATATCAACTCACCAGCAGTTTGTACCAGTTAACTACATTATGATACTTAGTGTTGTTCCGATTAATCAATTTAGTCGACGTCTGGTTGTTTGTTTCTGAAAATTTATTAATCGATCCTTGTTTTCCATCAATTTCATTTCCAAAATACATATTTTTCAATAATTATAAGGTTCTGTCAACAAACGTATTGTTTTTGCATGAATGTTGTGCGTTATTAGCGAAATTCTCTAATGTCGGGTTTCCCCCGCAAACGAAAGTGAAAGCAGATTTCCGAAAGCGAATATATATAACCTTTAATTACTGAATTTAAGTTAAATTTGATTGATCATTTGTGGATCATCAGTCACTTGATTTGAAGTGATGATCGAGTATGAATTTACAGCTGTCAGATTATCGCTGTTTTCTGAAAAGTACATATGTCCCTCCCTCTATCACGTGACAGTGACATATATCTTAAACCTGGTCAAATACGGAGAAAAAGTATCTCGTAAAACAACGTACATCAAGTTCATGGTAATCATCTGATAAACACCACAGTGGAAATAAGTCTGTGATATTACTGTGTTATCCCGGTAAAATATGTATTGTATTGTCCATGTGATGTACTTTTATGTATTGATGCAATGTTTTACCAAATAAATCTATCTTATCTATAACAATGCCCTACCATCACAGCCTGTGATTCAACCCTGATAGTGTATGTCACACTGCAAGGGGCTGCATTTCTTAATAATCAGCTGACCTATACAAGTCATGCAAGTGTCATCCTGGTAAAATACTAGTCGTTTCCCAGGGGTCATAGCGATTCCTTTGCAAGTATCGCAGAGTAATTTTGTCAATATTACCCAGGTCCATATGTGGGCGCCAATGTCACAGAGGTCATCATATTTTTAAATGCCTCCGCCAAGAGTCAAACCCAGGACATCTGGCTTACTAGTCTTACGCTCTACCGAATGAGCTAAAATTCTCCCTAGCCAAGACGATAGGAAGCGGCTAGTATTTGACACAAGTTTACAATTAAGGACAAAACACCAAACACTTTAACCTACCTCTTTTGCAACAGGTTCAAGTCCGGAGTCTTTATAGAATTTAACAATGTCATCCCTGAATTCTGATCCGTTGGAAGACTTTGTGGGTGTACCTTGCAAGATTTTCACAGGACTTCCTTGAGCTGAAAAAAAAAATCAAACAATTGTAATAATCACAACAATCATTACTGCCCTTTAGATACAGTACGTAATGTACCAGGGCTTTTTCTTATCATTTTGGGGGGAAATGGGGGAAAATTGAAGTAACATTGGACAAACTTATTTTAAAGTGCCGGATATGAAAATATTTGCAGATATTTTCTTCTTTGTAAAATATATCACTGGAAATATGGAGATGGAGAGAGCATAACTGACACAGTTTTTGAACCAAATTGGATACATGTATGGAAAATTACAAAAATTCCCAAGTAGATTTTACTTGTTACAACTACAGGGCTTAAAATGTCTTTTTATTTTGGTGGCCCGATAGACTTCAGGTCAAAAACATCTAGGTTTCAGGCAACTGGATAATCTGGTAGCCTAGGCCAAAATTCCTCCTCACTCAATTAGTCCCTGTTTACAGATTATATTTATATGTAATTATATATACTGCCACCAAAATAGGGAGCATGCAGCATCATAGCCAAATTCAGATCTTAACATCAAGTTTTGCTAAGCTACAATAAATGACAAACAATTGACCAAAGATATGTAATCCTCATAAAACAATAACTTCCATTCCTATACATTTTTTATAATAATCTTTGTAGCAGGACTGGACCAAAATGAAGTTGGTTAGAAATCAAGTCTATGAGTTTGGAGGTTCCAGACTCGCATCTGTGTCACAGTCTGGTCATCACTGTCTGTATATGCATTTGCTGGGATATAGATGTTTCGGTACAGTACTTGGTCATTTTGTCATCAGGATTTTACGGTCCTTTATTAAAACTTTAACAGCCTTATCCAAACATTAATTCAATATTTAATAGAATTTTCGACACGTTGACTAACTATTTTTCTTTGTACTTTGCTTGCTTTTTGTTCATGTGTATGGCTTTTATATCTTTAAATTCTTCAGCATTTTTCATGCTTTAAAAAAATAACGAAAATGTTTTTATAGCTCTAGAAGACCATCTAGTTTGGTTATAAAGCGTTCTCATTCTGGTCTAGATTTAATTGCACCCGCCCCCTGTTACATTTAACTGTATTGTCTCGAGCAATGTTTGGTGTATTTTCACTTTAAAATACTTCGATTCTTCAACTACCCTAAACATGCAGCTTCAGAAAAGTGTACCGGCCGTAAACTGCTTCGTAAAGAGCATGCCGTTCCAGGTCCGAGTTCGCGGAAAAATATCAAACACCATTGTTTACATTTTTGTCGTTAGGTTCACACACTTAAATAAGGCAACAAAATGTGTGAAAATCTGTTTACATGTTACCGTTTCAAAATCAGATGAGCATGCAGAAAACAAAAATCTTCAACTGTGAGAAATACGATCACATTTAACAGCGATCTTCCATCGATTTACAAGAAAAACATGTAAACAAGGGCGACAATTACCATCATCCATCCATAAACTCGCAAGTGTGGTGTTCGAATTGGCCATATCCAGAGGATCGGCACCATTCACTTGTTAAAATAGATATCAGTCTATAGCTCTGTTGATCCTGAACCTCTTATGTGAATCAGAATGGTAGATTTATGTCTTGAGAGTATCGGAATCTTTAAAATCCCAATGACAAAATGGCGTCCATCGAAAGTTCCGATCGAGTCCCTGAACCAATTGGAAATTCCTTCGAACAAGAGAAGATCTCGCCCGTGTTACCCTTCATCTCCGTATCGCTGTTGTATCTCTAGTTCCCATCTCAAAGGCTTATGATGAGATATAACGGGAAATTTGCAAACTCACTGTTGCCGAAGATATGTATTCAGCCTGCAAAACGAGCTTGGCGGCGACAATGACCGAAATGATTTGATTGGCTGGTTGACACACGTGAATGGCAAGTGCGCAAGCGTAGAGAGCTTCAATAAAAACCACACAGCAGAAATTACGGGAAAATGTCACGAGTTATGTATGATTACTGTAGTTTAGATAGGTACGGTATCATCGATATTGTCTTCAATAATTATGAGTGATATATGTTAAAGTTGTTAAAATAATGTTTTCGTATTTAGTTAAACGTAATTTGTGAGTTTTTATTTAGATTGTGTAGAAATTAAGTTGTAACGTTATCACGAGAAAAAAATAAGCCTTCAAACAAAACCGTTATAAAGTTCAGCAATACCAAACCACAGAATTAAATTAGTTCATAATTAAAACATTTAAAATACATATAAAAAATAGCATTTACTCTACCAAGCGCGTCGCTGTGAACTAAACTTACATGTATCACATAATAAGCATGTATTTTATTCAACTGAAAGCAACATTCTCTATACATCCTCGAAATTACAGGGATTGCTCTCACCTACCTTTCCGTACATTTTCCTACGAGGGCTTTACAGGTACAGCAGAAACATAGTTGAAGGCCTATCAATCTTACTAAGATAAAGTTTTCGAGTTTATTTTTAGCTCTGCCCATTTTCGATCTCTTGCTAGGATATCATTTTTTGTTCTCAGCTTTGTTATCAGTTGTCTTTGTCTAAATTCTAATAACGATGAATACGATTCTTTCTCTATATCGAACTATTTTTAACTTTACTGTATATAATAACTTTACTGTATATAATAACTTTACTGTATAGATAAATTCAAATGTAATCAATGTTATGTAATTTATTAAAAAAAACTGTTTCAACTTCCTAGCTATAGGAGTTAAGTTGTTTTTTTAATTTTAAAACAATACTTTCGTTGACCATATTGCACATAAACCTAACTGCCAGCCTGTAGAATAATAGTGAATGTGCTATAATATCGTTACATGATAATTTAAGATTTATACATGTGTAAAAAATGTGCATTGATTAGATTGCCTCACAATTAAGCGTCCTTAAATGACTCTAGCTGTTGATAGGACGTTTAACAATACTAAACCAAACCAAACCTTTACAAGCGTCAACTGTAGGCAATTTCCCTTTAGCTCAGTGGTAGAGCATCGGGCTGGAGAGCCAAGGGATGCGGGTTCGAGTCCAAGCGACGGCACTATCTTGATCACTATTCCTCGTCTTACTACACATGAATGAGAACTTATATTCAGTCTACCGTGTATATCGGTTATCGTCAGAAACAGGTTTATTATGAAACTTTTTAGTGATACTTTCTAGGTGTTGAGCTTTGGTAGGTCCCATATAAAGCAATTTATATTTTTTGTTTGAATGCTATTTGCATTATTTGTCATTTTCTCGTGACACTTTCTTAAGATCAGTCACCAGGTAAAGTCATCCTTACCTGTTGGATACTAGGGATTATCGTGGCTATTATGTGTGTGTGCCCAATCACCCAAGACCAAGGTAGGATTATCCCCCCGTTGGCCTCTGAGTACCTGAAGGTACTAACTTTCTTATTGGAAATAAACAAGCTCATATTTACTTTGGTAATACCGAGACATCATTGAATAATGATTTTCACTTACCAGCAGGTTTTCGGATATATAACAAACTTTCTGAGATCTCGATGTATTTCCAGAGTCAGCAACTTGACATATTGTGTATTCAAGAAACTTGGCGGGCAACAGCAATTCATAGCGAGGAACTGGCAATTCCTGGATACTGTCTTGAGCGTCTAGACCGCCATGATGGCAGTCGGCATGGTGGTGTTGGGACTTATGTTAAAGACACTACCCCTTTCATTAGAAGATCAGATATTGAAATGGCAATTGTCGGGCAATTACACGTATGCTAACCGTAGTTTCCACCTACTTCGCGCCTTTATTCCGGACGTCGGCCATCTTAATTGTAAGACATGTTTTCCCTTTTATTACCGTACGTAATACAGCCTATTGATAGATATTACATTACATGTATTATGCACAATACAATGTCATACAAAGTCAAGTTCATTCCTTTCAAAGACAGTAGGTATATATGACCTAATTTCAAAAGCTTTACACATTTTTTTTTAATAAAAATTATACAGCTCTGTAACATTTTTTTATAGTTTATACATGGATGGCTTGCATCGATAATAAGGGTTTAACGGTTTTTGTCGGAGGAAATCATATTCTTTACATATAAAAACAAAATGATATTCATCTTCTACTTCAGTGGTACATATTGGGCATATACGGTTAGAAACAGCTTGCTTATTGTATCTTCATGTTTCAATTGTTAAACAGTGCGCAGACAAACGAAAACTACAAATGACTTTCTTGAATTTCAATAAAATTGGCTTTGATAAATAACTCTGTAGGCAAACATGGTCTACAAGGTATTGGTACAAGTTACACTTTGAAGAAGATGAAAAAATAGTGAACAGATTTTGCTGAAATATATCATCCAAGCGTTGTTTAGTTTAAACATATTTCATTGACAACATATTGACAAAGGGATTAGTCGGTAAGTTTTTCCAACTTATCAATTGACTTCTCCCGTAATACAGACAAATATAATAATACACAATTGTCACATGATGGTAAGAAAATAAATATGTTATTGATGAATGATATCAGNAGGGGTAGGGGTTGGGGGTTGGGGCGGGTACCAGGAGACAGGACTGGGGTTGGAGGTTGGATAGAGAGGGTTGGGGTTTGTAGTTATGTTCCCAGGAAATGTTGTGCAGCCTTGGCTAGTTTCATATTATCATTTGGTGAGATGTTGGGGTCACCTTTACAAAGAATATCTACGTTTATGTCGCCTTCGTACCATTCTAATTCGGTAATGAGTGTTCTTCGTAAATAAGAATGCAAGCGTTGTTTGACTATAGGAACACAATGTTTTAGTCAACATTTTGCTGGTTTTGCCATATGTCTTCCATACCTAACATGGACAATTCCATGTTTACATTTGCTGCCCAGTTTTTTACAATTTGGATTAGATTCACACCTATTAAAAAAATATTCACAACAACATTGCAGTATACAATTTTGTGTCCTTAATAATTTACACCAGTATTTGAAGATCTGATCACAGATAAAGGGTACCAAGCTTACAATACACCATGGCACTGGGTGTTGACCTCTCTACACCGAGTATATTCTAACTATTATAGTAGCCCATACTACCAACATATGTATCAAAAAGTGACAATAAGTCTAAAATTAAATTGCATGTCTATACATGACTTTCTTAGTCTGAATACTGCTTTACGGCATTTAGCGGCGAATTGTTTCTGTGCTAAATTGAAGTTGCAATTATATTTCAGAATATTACCAAGGTAACAGAACTCGTCAACAACATCAATAATTCACTTTTGTAAATCCATTTCTCATTACAACACATTTCCTGATTTTCTAAATACAAATATTTTAGTTTTATCAATATTAACTGAGGCACTCCACCTGTCGGTGAATCAGATAGAGTATTTAACATTGCCTGTAGGCCTTCTGCACTTTCTGAAAATAACACCATATCATCAGCATACACCAGTAAAAATAGCGATAATTATTGCAATTCTGTAGGTTGAATACCATTTTTTTTTAAATCGTATAACTGCAATCTATAATTTCTTCAAATGACTAAATTAAATCAGTTAGATAGCATGTTCTCGATAAATACTGGAAAAGGTAAAAGGAAGAAGGGGCTCCACGGAAACTTTGTAAACTCAATTTCGCAAACAATTAACTTTTTTAAGTCTTTGATTGAAGCATGATTATATGTTGTGCTTTCGACAAATTCGCATTTAAGATCTGTTCAAGACATGGATGGAGTGTTCACCCCAAAGACCGACTATCTTCTTGTCCTACAAGAGGATTGGGAATGGCCACCGACATAATACAGGTTGCGGATGTTGCGTTTATTCCACCAAACATTCGCCTAGTTCGGATGCGTATGGTTCATTCACCGTGTTATTTCGCACTCGTTCACAAGAGACCGTGTTATTTCGCACTCGTTCACAAGAGACCGTGTTATTTCGCACTCGTTCACAAGATACTGTGTTATTTTGCACTCGTTCACAAGAGACCGTGTTATTTCGCACTCGATCACAAGAGACCGTGTTATTTCGCACTCGTTCACAAGAGACCGTGTTATTTCGCACTCGTTCACAAGAGACCGTGTTATTTCGCACTCGTTCACAAGAGACCGTGTTATTTCGCACTCGTTCACAAGAGACCGTGTTATTTCGCACTCGTTCACAAGAGACCGTGTTATTTCGCACTCGTTCACAAGAGACCGTGTTATTTCGCACTCGTTCACAAGAGACCGTGTTATTTCGCACTCGTTCACAAGAGACCGTGTTATTTCGCACTCGTTCACAAGAGACCGTGTTATTTCGCACTCGTTCACAAGAGACCGTGTTATTTCGCACTCGTTCACAAGAGACCGTGTTATTTCGCACTCGTTCACAAGAGACCGTGTTATTTCGCACTCGTTCACAAGAGACCGTGTTATTTCGCACTCGTTCACAAGAGACCGTGTTATTTCGCACTCGTTCACAAGAGACCGTGTTATTTCGCACTCGTTCACAAGAGACCGTGTTATTTCGCACTCGTTCACAAGAGACCGTGTTATTTCGCACTCGTTCACAAGAGACCGTGTTATTTCGCACTCGTTCACAAGAGACCGTGTTATTTCGCACTCGTTCACAAGAGACCGTGTTATTTCGCACTCGTTCACAAGAGACCGTGTTATTTCGCACTCGTTCACAAGAGACCGTGTTATTTCGCACTCGTTCACAAGAGACCGTGTTATTTCGCACTCGTTCACAAGAGACCGTGTTATTTCGCACTCGTTCACAAGAGACCGTGTTATTTCGCACTCGTTCACAAGAGACCGTGTTATTTCGCACTCGTTCACAAGAGACCGTGTTATTTCGCACTCGTTCACAAGAGACCGTGTTATTTCGCACTCGTTCACAAGAGACCGTG